GGCCAATGTGGCCAATGGTCAGGGGTGATATGGGGGTTGTCGTCCAAAACCTCTCCGAGTGGGAGAAGTGCGGAATGGTTTGCCCCACTACCTGGACTGGTAAGGTCAAGAAAGCCCCTCCTCCTATAGCGGACAGAAGGTTGGTGAACTGGTGATAGGAGTTAGGGGGCAGGAGTTAGGGGACATCCACCAGCCACAATGGTAAAGGTAAAGGACCCCTGGACGGTTAAGTCCAGTAAAAGGAGATTATGGAGTGTGGCACTCATCTCGCTTTCAGGCCGAGGGAGCCAGTGTTTGTCCACAGACAACTTTCCGGGTCATGTGGCCAGCATGACTAAACCACTTCTGGTGCAACAGGACACCATGACAAGTGCCAGAATGCAAAGAAACACTGTTTACCTTCTCACTGCAGCGGTACCTGTTTATCTGGTATGCTTTCGAACTGCTAGATTGGGAGAAGCTGGGACAGAGCAATGGGAGCTCACCCCATCGCGGGGATTTGAACCGCCAACCTTCCGATCGGCAAACCCAAGAGGCTCACTGGTTCAGACCACAGCACCATCTGCGTCCCTGTTACCAGCCACAATATATATATATGATAATAGTATTAGGGTGAACCACCTTGAGCAATTTGGTTGGAAAAGCAGCAGAGTTTTGTTTCTCTGTTGTTAAGCCTAGTAAATTCATAGTCAGCCAAGGTTCTGTTTGCTAAAGTCTAGCGCAGGCTTCCTCAACCTCGACCCTCCAGATGTTTTTGGCCTGCAACTCCCATGATCTCTAGCTAGCAGGACCAGTGGTCAGGGATGATGGGAATTGTAGTCTCAAAAAAATCTGGAGGGCCGAGTTAGAGGAAGCCTGGTCTAGCGCCTCCTTTGCCAATGCATAAGGTGTAAAGTAGGTAGGAACAGGGCTTTTTTGCAGCAGGAATTCAGTTCCGGCACCCCTCAGGTTGCCATTATGTATTTCACACTCACTCTCAAAAGAGAGAGTTGTTTGGGACACATGTATAGGATGTATCCTCAAACAATATAACATATAGTTAGCCACATTGGTTGCCCAATGTTCTGCTGCATGGATGCTTGCAGGCTGGTGCCAGCAAGTAAGGCATGATTTACGGTATTTATTTTTGACTGGTGGGGGGACTTCAACTTACTGGGATCATTCACCGGCTGTGCACTGGTACAGAGAATGCTTAGGCACAACACATTTGAATGCAAGAGTCAGCTAGTGTAGCTGATCCCGAGGAAGCCCTTGATTCAAATCTCGCCCCAGTCGCCACTTTCCCAGATTGCTTTGCATCTTTCATGACGTTTATGAAAATTCAGGTCACAGGTTAATGTGTTCGTCCTTTAAAGTGCCCCTGAGCTCTTCTGCTGCCTTCTGGTGAGGCTGTGAAGGGCTTCTTGATCTCTTCTCCTTACTAATGGGATCAATCTGCTCAGGATCCTTACAGCCAGATCCAATTAGCCGGGGTAAACAGTGTCAGCTCTGGTCCTCTATAACTTCATGAGCCACATCACCTTTTCCAAGGTGAACTGTGGTGCACAGAACAAGGTGAACCTCATCCTGTCCCCTTTCTAGGCTACCTCCATCCCACAGGCTTTTCATTCCTCTCCAGTGGTGAAGACCTCTGAAGTGGCAGAGTGTCCTGCTTTGAAATAGAGGACTTCTTCAAACAGATTTGGAAAGGACAAAGAACTCTTAAGAAGGGAGAGCAGGGGCTTTACCTATTTGTACCTGGGCAGCAGACTGAGCTGGCGAACAGGCCACCTGGTTGCAGTCTTCCCGGTGATGGCAAGAGTTGTACCGGACTGCCTTTCCAAGGGTGAGGAAGCTGTAGCCTTCTGTATGCCGTTGCCGCATGACAACCACCCTCATCCTCGATTGTGGTCTGTGCTGGCCAAGGCTGATGGAAGCTGGAGACCAGCAGCACCTAGCGGGGTGCCCAAACTTTTTTCAGAGAGGGCCAGGTTTGATGAAGTGAACATGTGTGAGGGCTGACCAAAGTTGTTGAGCTTTTTTTTAGCTTTTTTTACATATACTGCCACAGGGGCAGGGTTAAATTGATGGGCGGGCCGGATTAGGCTCCCAAAACAGACTTTGGACATTCCTGATCTAGTGCCACAGCTCTACCACCCCTGACTTATTACAATAATTATTACAAAAAAATTACATCTGTACATAACAATACTCACAGACCATTTAATGCAAATCTGTGTCCTCTTTTCTTGGCAATGCATAATCAGCCACCCTCCACCCTTACTCATCCCACTTTTCCTTTTTGCCTCATTCTAACTGGATTCGTCCCATCCAGCCCTTTTGCTCAGGCTCCTCTGCCTCGATTGGCCTCCCTCTTTCTCACCTGTCAGTCCACTTCGCCTCGAGCCATCACTGCTCTGCTCTTCCTTCTTTGCTCACTGCTCCACTTGGGGGCAGAATTCACTTTAGGCAAATGGGTGCCATTGCAGAGGAAAGCTTCCATAGGATCGCAGTCAGTCAGTTTGTAATGCAACAGTGAGGAGTTGTGACAAGGAACACTAGCCAGGATGCTTTCAGGCTGTTATCTATTTTGGGGTGGGATTCAGTCACATATCGGCAGATTCAGGTTGTGTTGTGCGCTTACACATGATCTGGTGCTCTCCTGCAGCGAAATCTGCTTCTTCCCTTAAGGAGATGCACTGGAAAGCAACAATTGCTTGATGCATTGGCCAACCTCCCTGCAAAGTGACCTGTATGCTGGCTAACTAGCTGGCTAACCTCCTTGCAAGCTTTGTGCAAACAACTCGGGATGAACACTCAATTAAAAACTCAGCAGGCAGTGACCCAGTGCCTAGTATTTGGGGCTGGATGTGTGTAAAGCAGAGTGGGACATCAGCATTCCCAAGTGGACCTAATGCAATTCCCAGAGGGCTGGGACACAGAACTCAGGTTGTACGGGAGCTAAAATATTTATACCGTATTGGCCCAAATATAAGCCGCACCTTTTAAAATTCAAGGGCGGGGGGAGAGGAAAGAAAGACAATACCCGAATATAAGCCACTCCCTTAAAATTCCACAGGCACTCACACCTGTCTGTCTGTTTCAGCAGCGATATCGTGTTGTCAGGGTGTTTCGTCCAACAGCACCTTTCCCTCCACATACACAGATGGAAGGACTAGAGGCCTGTTTTCTTGAGACTGCAAAGTCTACATAAGAGTAACTTCCGTTTGGCAACATACAATTTTTCTTTCGGGGGGGGGGCGGTCTCGTGCGCCCTCGGTATTTGTTAGATGGGAGCAGATGTCTAACAACAACCTGGGGGGGTCCAGCTTCCCTAGCACACTTAATTTGTTGTTGTCGTTGTCATCTCTTTATATATTTTCTCGTTTCCTGTCTTGCCAACATCTTTCCTGAATTGAGCTGAACCGCACACAGCATTCTAGAGGTGGCCGTATCAGGGCTAGAAAAAGGCTTTTGGTGGATGCAAAAATTGTGTTGTGGGCTCACATCAAGTTTAGTCCAGTGTTCTGTTTTTACAGATTCTTCTGAAAGTTCGTAAGCAAGGCCTGAAGCTTTCCACACCCCATTAATTGTCCCTGGCAGCTGTCATTCAGAGATACGCTGGTTCAGTGTATGGAGCTTCTACTGAACAACCATAATTAATTTGACGGCCTTAGCTAACCCCCACCTTTTTTATTATAAAAAAGGCCATTTAAGCATTGGCTGAGCATTACTTAATTGACTTTCAGAAAACAGCTATCTGTTTAAATAAATAAGCAAAATAATTCGGTTTTTTTCTCACACACTTACCACTGCCCCCAAACCAAATGCAGCAATTGTGGGAGGATTTAAGCTCACAGGTATCTTTTTTTTATATGAAATAACAGCTTTATATACATATCTGAGAGGTGTGCAGCACATGTTCTTTGAACTGAGGAAGGAGCACTGGGGTGTGTGTGTTCTTGCTTCAACCTTCACCCCAATTTTGTTTATGTTTGTAGATTCAAAGACACAAAAATCAATAATAATTTTGTGTGTGGGCCCCTCATCCTTACCCCAGTACATGGAGCCAGTCACATTTTTCTTTCCTCTTAAGTTTGGTGGCGGAGTTTTCCTTGCTGTTCGTCTTAAACTTCTTGGCCAGGATCCAAGGCAGCTTGGAACTAGTTCTACAAACCCCAAAGGTCTGAGGGCTGCCATTCTGTACCCGGTGACCTGAGTTCAAGTCCAGCTCAACCCAGTAGGACTTAATTCTGAGCAGCAGGTCATCTGTTCTTTTAGATAGCTGTCCTATACACATCTACTCAGAAATAAGTGTGACTGAGCCCAATGGGGCTCGATTCCAGGTATATAGAACAACAGCCTTACAGTACAATGCTGTGTCTACTCAAAGGTAAATCCCACTGAGTCCAATGGGAGCTAACCCTGGGCATAGCATGGCAGAATTAGCGCTGCTCTTCTTGAAAAGCAGCCCACATCCACCCTGCCTTTACCAGGTGTGATGGCAAGTGGTTTGTGATATGGCACAAGGGTAAAGCGGGTTTAAAAGTAGAGGGAAAAGGACCCACGCTTTTCACTGGGATTGTGTAAGGCTCTAGAATTGGATCTTTAAAAGTCCCGGCTGGCTTTTATCCCTCCTGCCCTTAAAAAAAGGGGGGCAGGCAAAAACTATTCTTACCAGAAAAGAACAAAGTGAAAAGAGCCCAAGGAACTGAGAGATATTTCCTCTCACAAAATGCCTTGTGACAATTCTTATAAAAGGCAGTCTTTAAGATATAAGGGCGGTTGTTGTTGGGATAGTTCTTTTTGGTTAGTGAAATCGTGAAACAGTGCACAATGCTGGGTTTGGGGGTTTTTTGACACCCCTACCTCAGAAAGCTGGAGGGCTTTTGCTCAAAAGAACTATCACAGCACTCATAACCCAGTCTTGTTCTCCCCCCACAAATATTTTCAGTGCCTTCTTGAGGAAACGTTCTGTCCATCGATAGAAGAAGCCCATAGCCAAACAACACAAACCCAGCCAAAGTTAAGTACCTTTTATCTCACACTGATTTTAAAAGTGCTCAACTGTGGCTAGATAATACGGGTTAGCATTTTAAAAGAAAATTGTGACCCAGCCGGTAGGAGAATCTGTGTCCCAACCACCCTGATTTTCTCCTTGCCACACCCTCCTCCTAGAAATCTTCCAAATTCCAAACTTTTACAAAGTTTTCTTTTAAAATGTATTTATATATATATATTTTATATATATTTATATATATATTTCTTCTTTCTTAAATGAATGAATCCTTCTCTCCCTCCTCCTTTCTATGTGTAGAAGAAAAACCCTGAAGAACTAATTTTACTTCTCTCTCTCTTTCTTTTTTAATTATTTGCTGGTGTCGGATTTTTTTTTTTTTAGGCATGTGGGGGGGTGGGGTGGACAAGGAGTGGGGAAAGGCAGGGTAAAGAGAGAAAGGTTAACTTTGGGTGGTCAAGTCGAGGATGGAAACGGAGCAATAAAATAAAAAAACAGGAAACAGAAAACAAGAAAACATTACACCCTTTCCCCTGAAACATCTGAAATGCAAACTCAACCGGGAAGAAAAGAAAAAACACCACTTCATTTTCACTGCAACAAGAAGCAGGCAACTCCTTAGTGAAGGTGTATAATGTGTGCACGACAAGGGTGAGAGTGTGTGTGTCGAGGGGGGAGGGGATGCGTGCCACATAGGAGGTGAATTTTTCTGTAATCAGTTGGGTTTTCTTTTAATATATATATATATATATAGATATATATATGTATGTAAAGTCTCGCTCCTAGATTTTGAGCTTCTGTCCTTCAGATTGGCTCGTTGATCTTTATCCGCAGAGTCCAGAACTTCCTGGATCAGATGATCTGTGCCTCTCCAAGGGGGGGGGGGCGGGGAATGTCCCGCAAATAGGGGGGGGGGTCGGTCTTCATTGCAAAAGTGGAACCCTGTTTTGCTGGAACCGTTGAACGAAGGGTAGCGTGCTGGCATGGAACAGTACGTGTAAGCCCACCCCCCTCGGGCCCAACAGCAGCCCACGCAGTGCCGTGGAGGGGAGGGAGGAGCGACCACTTGCAGCGGCCTGCTGTCCCATGGCTCCCTGCCCCCTTGCCCCAACCCTGCTCCTCAGACGTTTGTCCAGGCAGGCCCCAGGGAGCAAAAGACCAAAGTGTGCAGCAGGCAGCCGGGAGGGTGGGGGTCAAGCAGCTTGTCCCGGTGGCCGCTGCGGTCACGGCGAATGTGTGGCAGGACTGCTTCTGTTGGAACTGGGGGAGAGGCTGGGGCTGCAGCTTCCTGGAGGGGGGGCGAGGCTTCCTATGCGCGACGGGGCTCCCGCCGAGGCCCCCAAAGTGTCCATGCCTTCCGAGTTCTCCAGCATCTCCTGGATCAGCGGCGGCATCGATCCAGGGATCTCCATCTTCAGCGTGATCACTCTTTCAGCACCTGCGGGGGGAGCAAGGCAGACAGGCGACTTAATGCCAGAGGTAGGTGCCAAGTCAGTAATAACTCACAAGGTGCCAGCGAAGTTAACTCTTTATTCAAAGAGCAGCTCGGCAGATTAGGCCAAGTGAGCACAGAAACTCTTCCCACTAAGTCTTGCCCCAAGGAGGCAGTTGCAAGGACTGAAGGTCTCCCTCTTCCCACAGCTCTCTAAGACTCCTCCCCCCCCCCCGGTCCTTCCCAAGCAATCTGAGATTCTGACGCCTTGCCTGTCTTTGCTCTCTTCATACCTTTTCTGATGCGGGAGGAGGGGAGCTGGGTACTTGCAGGAGGGGAAGACGCCCTGGCTTCTTCAGCAGCTCTCTGCCCCAGCCTCTTCCTGCTCACTAAACCCTGTTGCCTCTTCTGCTTCCAACATCTCCTCCTCCCACTCTGACCCCTCTTCTCTCTCTGGCTACTCTGGTTCTGAGCCTCCTTCCTCTGGGGATTCACCTTAGGGGTTCCCCAGCTGGTGCCTCCCCCCCCCCCCGCACTCCTCTGCATCCAGCCAGTCCAGGACTGTGTGGGAGGAGAACATAACTCTTTGCTGAGCTCCCCTCCTCGCCCTGCACTGGACAGCCCAATAACGGGATGATCCTTGGCAACAAATCCAAGCTTTGCCCCTGGGTCACACGCTCTTGTCAGGGAGCTGCAAGGAATCTCAAGCAGATGCTTTGGAATACCTGCCTGCTGCATTCACGCTTGGGAGTTTTTAGGCATTTTAAGCACGTTTCAAGTCTCCAGTGCACATCTCAAAATGAAGAGAGAGACTCCCTGTGCAGAACCCGGAGCCCCGCCCTCACCCTTTGCGCTGATGCTTCTCAGGTCCGTGATCTTCATCAGCATCTTGGGGAACATGTGGGGCTTGCTAGGCCTCCTCTTCCTCACGTAGATTTTCAGGGCTTCCAGCAGTGGCTCCTGCAACTTGTCCACGCGGTCCGGCTGCTCCAGGTCTTGCCGATCTGGGCAGAGGGAGGGGAGGGGAGGCACTTAGAAAAACAACAGGCACAGAATACATCTGCACAACACTCAGAATACAAAAAAAAAGAGAAAAATGCGCCTAGTAAGAGCCATTGTCTATGAACCTAACAGGGAATTTGCGTTGCATTTATTGATGCATGCATCACAATAAATAATAATAATAATAATAATAATAATAATAATAAATTATTATTTATACCCCGCCCATCTGGCTGAGCTTCCCCAGCCACTCTGGGCGGCCCCCAATCAAGTAATAAAAACAATACTCAATATCCAATACAACAATATCCAATACATGGATACACACCCACACCCATGGCCAATGTCACTTCTAAGACTATGAGAGGTATTATTCCCTCCCCCTCCCAATTGCTTTGCATTTTTAAAAGATGCACAACAGGCAGAAGTTACACAGCTGCAGTTTCTTCTTTCACACCTGTGGAAAAGAAGCACACACTCCATGATCACGAGACCATTTGTGAGCAGGTGGGAACCACTGCGTTCCAGACAAGCCTAGAAAATGTCTAGCGGATGGAATCATGCAAATGCAGAATTCACACAAGCTGCTGCGTTTCGAGACCCCGGTTTTCCTTTGTTTTCAATGTCCTTCTCTTGTTCTGAGCCCCAGGCTCCCTAAATGGATTTGCCTTCATTTAGGGTATGGGTTACATCTCACACTTGTTTCCTACACCCAAATCACTTCTTAAAAAACCCCACAACCACCCACAAAAAAAACCACCACACATGTTGCTTGGTGCATGTGATGATAGCACCATAGGTCTGTTTTGCAAAAGGCGCATCTGCTAGCGAAAGTTGTGACTTTCCAGTGCCTGCACACAGCAAGATTGCCATGGTGTGCAACTGGCGCATGCTTAAAAGCTACAGATCGCAACTGCACATGTGGTTTTCGCACTCTTCCCTACACAGTAAAAGTCAGTGCATGTGGGTTCCATGACAGCATTGTCACCAATGTGGGGAACAAGCTTCCTCTAACCTTTCAGTCATTAGCATTGGTGTTTGAAAATATTCTGAACCTCATAGTGCATGAAGGCCACACCACCTCTCCTCCCCGCTGCCGAGCCTTGCAAAAATCTTCTCTCGTTCATCAAAAGCTTTATATAAAAAAAGGGCATTGTTTCATGCCTCCCACCAAAATAACTTCCTGCCACCAGATGGTGCTGTTGGACAGGGATGTCCCCTACTGAAAAGGCCCTGGCAAAATATAAGAGGTGCAAGGGTTTGCGAGAATTCGCAGATCGTAGTCAACAAAAATGTTTCTAAAGGAACAATATCGGGTGAAGAAAGGCTCAAGAACTATCTCACAGCAACAAGTGATCCTGTTATGGCCCTTCCCCCTCCCCTTGCTTCAGAGGTACCTTGGAAACAGTATTTTTGGTGCAAAGGCACAGGGGCTCTCAATTCTCAGCACCTTCAGAAAGTAACAACTGCTCGGACCGACCAGGGAGAAGGCAGGTCAATCCAACAAGTGGTTCAGGTTTCCAGAGCAGACATGATTGGGTTTCTAGAGTTCTTTTGGAGGGGTTTGCACCCAAATACTTTGCTCTAAAATAAATATAACATCACTCATAGACCTCCTGTGGAGGAGGGCAGGCTTACAACCATCCTCGTTCATGTGAATATAATTTTGCCTTGGGAGACTCAAAGCCCCATGGCTGAGTCTCAAGTTTAAGAGTTTTAACATTCAGGAGCTGCAAATGGCAAATGATTTCCTGGTCTTTTAACCCTACTTCAGGCTGCAATATGATGAGGGAGTTAAATACTTGAGTGCTCTCTTGGCAAAATAAAATTCAACAAAAATCCCTGCACGTGAATAAATAGCTTATCAGGGAGAGAATGAGACCAAACTCTTGACACGTTTGGTCTACGTACTAAGGAGTTACTTTGTTTTGCTTTAAAGGAATATGGGAGATAAAGTCACAGAAATTTAGATGGAATGGTTCAGGGAAATGTTTGCTACAGGATTCCAATGACTGTTATAAACTTGCTTTTTTATTAGGTCTTCCTTAAGCGATTCTCATTTCAAGCAAACAGTTTTGGACTACTTCCATCACTACAAATATTCACTTCTGGGAACACTCGCCCAAGGGAAACAACAAAAACCAACACTGGGGAACTGGACTTAACACTTCCGAGTGCAAGGAGAATCCCCATTGAGGGCCCCATCGGCACTCAATGTTTAAAGCAACATCATGCCACTTTGAGGAAATGTAGTTTGTTAAGGCTGCTGAGACCATTATTTCCCTCACAGAGCTACGAATCTCATGAGTGGTTTAACAATCCATGTGTCTTCTGAGGGAACTCTGGGGGGGCACAGGTGAAGAAGTTGTGGCTTTGCAAAACTTTAGTTTTGTCTGATTTATCAGGGTTTGAGGGACAATACACACACATACGGAGAGAGCCAGTGTGGTGTAGTGGTTAAGAGCGGTAGTCTTGCAATCTGGGGAACCGGGTTTGAGCCTCCGCTCTTCCACACGCAGCTGCTGGGTGACCTTGGGCCAGTCACACTTCTCTGAAGTCTCTCAGCCCCACTCACCTCACAGAGTGTTTGTTGTGGGGGAGGAAGGGAAAAGGAGAATGTTAGCCGCTTTGAGACTCCTTAGGGTAGTGATAAAGCGGGATATCAAATCCAAACTCCTCTTCTTCTTCTACATACACAGTGCAGAGCTATGATTATGACTATATGCATTCTCTGACCAAACCCTGAGAATGGAGGACATTGGTCCTGCTCTCAGTCCCAGTAATGGTGCTTACCCCCACATATGAGGCAGATAGCGCTGAGGAGCCCTGTTTCAGCATCATCCATCTCGAGTGGCAGCAGCTGGTTGGCGAAGGCGAAGACCAGGTCTGTGAGGGGCCCAAAGCCTGCGTTGTGCATCTGAGTGCGGTTGAGCGTCAGGCCGTCCGAGAACGTCATGGTGTCCTGCTCCGGGGTGTAGCGCGTGCATATCCGTAGGATCTAGGAAGGAGCATGCGGGAGAGAGGCATGCATCACACACAGGCTCCCAATGCCTTCCGCATTCCACAATGCTATTACAGTGGTACCTCTGGTTACGTACTTAATTCATTCCGGAGGTCCGTTCTTAACCTGAAGCACCGCCTTAGCTAATGGGGCCTCCTGCTGCTGCCGCGCCGCCAGAGCATGATTTCTGTTCTCATCCTGAAGCAAAGTTCTTAACCCGGGGTACTATTTCTGGGTTAGCGGAGTCTGTAACCTGAAGCGTATGTAACCTGAAGCGTATGTAACCCAGGGTACCACTGTAATAGGTTACTATGAGGTGGTGGATACGGGTTCATTTGCGTGCTTTTTTTAAGAGATGAGAACCAGAGTATGGAGCAAGCTTGTTTTCTGCTGCTCCAGAGGGTAGGAGGAACCAAACCAATCAATTCAAACTACAGTGGTACCTCAGGTTACAGACGCTTCAGGTTACAGACTCCACTAACCCAGAAGTAGTACCTCGGGTTAAGAACTTTGCTTCAGGATGAGAACAGAAATTGCATGGCGGCGGCATGGTGGCAGCAGGAGGCCCCATTAGCTAAAGTGGTACCTCAGGTTAAGAACAGTTTCAGGTTAAGATCGGACCTCCAGAACAAATTAAGTTCTTAACGTGAGGTACCACTGTGCAATCGTATCTCAGAAGTCAAATGGAATCTGTTCCAGAAGTCGATTTGACTTTCAAAATGTTCAGAAACCAAAGCGCGGCTTCCGAGTGGCTGTAGGAAGCTTTTTGATGGTGAGAGCTGTTCCAAGAGTGGAATGGATTGTGGACTTCCCTTACAGAGGGGTTTTTAAGCAGTGGTGGATTCTTCAGCTGTGATTCCTACATTGCAGCAGTTGGACTAAATGACCCTTTGAAAGTACTTCCAACTCCACAATTCTCATGTGAGTACATGGCTCCCCTACCCCCTATAGCATAGATGCTTCAACTAGTCCAGGGTTTCCCTAACTTGGGATCTCCAGCTGTTTTTGGACTACAATACCCATCATCCCTGACCACTGGTCCTGCTAAGCTAGGGGTGATGGGAGTTGTAGTCCAGCAACAGCTGGAGACCCAAGTTTGGGAGACATTGCACTAATGCGTTGGGGACCCACTACTGGACCATGGACTGATCTAGGGTGGATAGCAATGGCAGCACGGCCACCCTAATGATAAAAAGAAAAGGGTTCCCCAACGCATGGTCTTTGGTTCTGAAGAGGCTGAAGATGTCTGCCCTATAGGTTCAAGGATTCGAATGACTTGCCCCTGTTTGAAGGAGGGGTGGGACTCACCAGGATGTCTAGACAGGCGGCTTTCAGGAGCGTGATCTGGTCGGCGATGGTGAGTGTGGTGAAGCCCGGCAACTGCTTGGCGAATTCGACTGTCTTGATGATACACTTTGTGGACAACTCACTGAACTTGTCCCACAGGTCGATGTCGAGAGAGACCCGCTGATCCGAACTGTTGTTCTGTAGAGCAGGGGAAAGAGACCAGAAAGTCAGCATGGAAAGACGGAGAGGAAAAGAAAAGAGGAGAGCTGAATGCATTTGAGATGGGGGCAAAAAAAAAGGAGGGGTTAGATTCCAGTCCCCCCCCCCCACACACACTTGAATTGGAAGATCAAGAAGAAATTGATTCTCCGGCTACACTGTCTGGCCACCTTGCCTTCCCGTGAAGTACATGACTTGATCACGTTTTAAATTTTTTTTCTTTAAAAACCTTTTTATTTTAAGAAACAAGTAATATTCCAATATAGCATATACAGAATGAACACCTCTAAACAGTGCAGGACTATACAACAATGCATGTAAACATAAAATCCAGGCACAGGTGAGGAGAATAATTTATGATATTTTTGTGTTTCTCTGTCATTTTGGGGACTATCTTTAAAAGTAACATCTTCCAACTACGGACAGCTGTTACAAATGCGAATGAACATTTCATGACTGCCACATCTGCACATATCGGGCTGGGACTTGGGTCTCGCCACCTTTCTGAACTGCTGGCCTAACTAAGCAGCTCCTCTTGAGAGACTCAGCTTTCACCTGAGCAGTGCTGGAAGCTGCCTTGCGTAGGCACTGTAATAAAAGATGGGATGTATTTCTAAAACAACACAAGCAGGTTCCTTGGCCTTGTGGCTGGATAGAGGAGCCTAAGTGATGTGGCAAAGGCCCAGGGGAAGCTCAGAAGCAAGGAGAATGGGGCTGCATGGTCCAGCTAGCGGAAGGGCCATTGCAAATATATCAGATTCCATCCCTGGTTAAAAGGACCATGAAGGAAGTGATGTGGAAAGACCTTTTCTCTGCCTCAGATTCTGAAGAGATGCTCCATGTGGATTGAATGGACAATTAGTCTGGACTCTGCAAAAGGTAGTTTCAGAGGGAAAGCAATGGAAAAGCACACCAGCAAGGACCATGCTGCTCAACTAGCAAAACTGATCAAGGTTGCAGAGTTTTTGTTTTTGTAGCGGAATTTCAGGGAGTTGTCCAGCTCAGTCAGTAGAGCACGAGACTCTTAATCTCAGGATCATGGGTTTGAGCTCCACAGTGGGCAGGTCCATCCTGCGGGGGGCTGGACTACATGAGACCCTCCTGGTCCCTTTCCAACGCTGCAATTCTAAGCGCAGAACTCTCATAGCGCCAGCTGGGGTTCCCCACCCCATACCAGCTGACTGCCTGTGGATCCCACCTTCCCGCCAACTGCACCAATCAACACGTCCAGCTCACACTTCCTCCCTCCCTCCCGCTGCCTCCCTCGGGCTGCCACTCACCGTGGTGTACTTGCCCAGCTGGCAGAGGGCAGGGAAGGTCTCCTGGTGGGCTTTGCGCACTTTCTCTATGAGGTCCTCCACCTCCGGCGTGATGATGTAGCTCTCCGAACATTCCTGCTTGGGGGCGTCTTTCTTCTTCTTGTTCCTGTCGTTCCGGACGGCTGGAGAGGAAGGCAAGCAAAGAAGAGAGGATCGCAAAAGTGAGGACCGGCGCTTTCCGAGAGAGTGAGAAATCAAGAAGAGCCCTAAAGGGAGAACCAACCCACCCTTCCTCATCTTTGGCCACGGCCATTATTTGTGATTCATTATATAACAACAACAACAACAACAACAACAACGATAAATGGGAAAAGAAAAATAAATGCACTTAAATGGAAACCAAATGAGATACCTGATACTGAGTCACACCACTGGTCATCAAGCTCAGTTACTGTCAACACAACCTCAAGTATTTAAGGCAGGCAGGGGGTATTCCCTGCCCTACCTGTGGGTGCCAGGGATTGAATCAAAGAGTTGGAAGTGACCCCCAACCCATGGCAATGCAGGAATCTCAACTAAAGCATCTAAGACAGATGGCCATTGAACCCGGGGCCTTCTACAAATGAAGGGTGCTCCCACCACCTCCGCAAGGGAGGCATCCAAGAAACAAAGCCACACAAATACAACAAAAACGCCTCGGCTGATTGTCGTCTCTCAGCATCCTTCTACTGGCTGTCCACCCTGCCCTAGCTCCACGGACAGATCGGCCTTCCCAATCCAGGCCACTGTGTGTTACACTGGAGAGCGAGAGTGCAAACTGAAAGTGGGCCCGCAGATCAAATAGCTCCTGAAGTCTCAAGAAAGTGATCACAACAGCATTCGGAATTTGCCAGGTGCATTTGGCACCTGGCCACCGGCCACTCGCTGCGACCAAGTGAAGGTGCCTGGCTGCCAGGAGGGTGCCTGACGCCTCCACCATCTGGAGGTGCATGCCTGGGGATCCTTGGATCTTGACTGTTTTAACACATTAGCTGAACACATCCTGTAGAATTCTACCCATGATCTTTTATCTGCACAATCAGAATGGGATTTCAGGAACCAAAAAGTTGTATTGAAAAATACGACTTTCGAGCTGTCTGGACATTCCGTTTTGGTGACTGTAACCCTGGTTTAAATAGGCATTCGGCACCTAGCTTATATAGCTGAGTTTCTAACACTGGTTCGCAACTAGATGTTGCAGGAGAGGAGGGAGACCTCCACTACCTGCCCCTATAGGAAACTGGATCCATTCCCAATCCTACCTTAGTCAATCCTGGAATGCAAACAGAATGTATTCATTCACCAAATCATTTACTTGGTGCCACTACATGCCACAAGGAAGCTTGTTCACTATGTGGCAGCTTTTCATGCCCCTGGGAAGCTAGGAAAACACAACCTGGCCTCATGACGGATGTGTGTGCATGCAATATGTGCAAAGGAGCATGTGTGTGGGCCCACATACATGTGCGTCCTTTCCAGACCTCAGTGACTGGCAGCTGCAGCAACAGAAACCATGCATTTATCCAGCTAAGTGCGGTTTTCTTTGCTCCCAGAAATATTTAACCATTATATTCTTACTTCCAATCTCAGTCTGTTTGTTTAGTTCAACACTTCTATACCTTTTTCCCCTTGGTGCCAAAAAAAGCAGCACCTGAGATCACATTCAATCATCAGTTTTTAAAAGTCATTTCCAAAAAAATCACATAGATGCTTAGAAATAGTAATCAAAGAACAAAGTGAAAAGAGAGAGACGTGCTTAGTGTGTTGGTATAAAAATGACCAGCCACCATTAAGAAAGAGCCTTCTTCATGAAACTTTAACCAGCAGCTGAAACAGTTTGAGGTGCCTGCTCTGGAGGCACATATTCCAGAGCTTGAGAATCACCACTGAGAAGGCCCTGCACATGCGTACGCATGCGCACACAAAAATCTATCTACCCATCAGAAAAGAAAGATCCAGGCGAACATGAGATTGCAAGCATTTTCCTTCAGGGGGAGTGCAACCCCATCAAGGGAAGGGAGAACAGGCAACCCTCCAGACCTAAGCTAGCCTGCCATCCTAACCTGTGCCTTGTTTGACCTGCTCCACTTTCAGCCATTAGTTCCTGAAATGTCTTCCTCCCCTACATTAGTGATCCCAAAGACCTACCAGGGGCGTCGTCCTCATGAGGACCATCCACTCAGCAAACTAAGAGTGGAATTCTCTTCCACTGGAAACTCGCCAACACCCAAATCTCTTAAGGAAGTGTTCAAAACCTTCTCTGCGCAAGCTGTTTATAGGCACATGGGGGGGGGGAGAAAGCTAGCAAAGGGAGCAGTGCTCTAAACGTTTGCTGTGTTGTGCCAAGGTATCTGAAATGGGATGTTTCCTACATGTCTTCCCATGAGCAGCTCTCTCTCTCTCTCTCTCTCCTAACCTGCCAGGAACCCTAAACATGAGAAGGGGCTAGAAATTCAAGCAGACAAAAGAAAGTCAAACCAGAGCCTCTTAACTAATTTAATTAACCTACATAGAACAAAAAACTGTTCGCAAATTACAGAACTAAGACCCAGGGGCTGCTAAACAAGACGTGGCCACATGCATCAGATTTGTGGCATTGCCTCTGCGTGGAAGGGATTTATTGAGGCAAGCACAAAGCTTTGTGTATGTTTTTTCCCCCTCTCTCTTGTGGTATTATATCCTTGCACAGGACTCCAAAGTAGGATAATTCCTGGAGGAAGTCATGTGGGAATGCATGTTTGGTGTGTGCCCTTTTGGGGTTTAAATTTTCCTTAAAAACACTCTCACACACTTATATCTATATATTAATAAAATAAATACGGCAACACCAGATGAGTCTTTCGCTCACAGTGGGCTGGTACATTTCACCGCCCTGCCTGAGGGAGGAGGTGGGGGCGGGAGGGAGGGGGATAATTCGGAAATCAGTCATGTCTGCTTGGCAAATTCAATAAAGCGCAGTCCAGACAAGCAGTTGGGGCGGGGGGGGGGAATACTGCATCCATCATCACATAGGGGCTGGGGGGAGAAAAAGCAGCTGGCACAAGGAGAAGTGTGTGTGTGTGTGTGTGTGTGTGTGTTGTTGGCGCATCTTAAAAGCAGATTTGGGAAAGGTGCCCCCGCGTTCCTCATTTTCTGCGCCCGCTCCCTAACAAACATTTCAGTTTGGTTTGTACTTGAATTCCCTTCCTCCCTGGAAAAAAGAGTGGCTCTACATCTCAGGAAGACATCAGTTCCTGCCCTGCCTTAGCTCTGTACCTGAATTCAACGAGAGTCGTCCTCCCGCTAGCTATTATTTGGTCAGCAAAGTCATCTTTCTCTCTCTTAGAACATCTTCAGGGCCGACAGATGGACTGTGGTCATTAAAAAGGGACTCCAGGATTATATATTGCTACTCAGCAAAAATGGGTGGAGAGCAAGGCCGGGACTAGGCCAGAATAATGCCTGCCCCACCCCACCCCTTCCTGATTGTGCTATTTCTTCATTATCCCGTTTCTCACCTAAAAGGCAAAAGGGGTTGGGGAGGGCAGGACCGCCAGTGTCCCAGATCAACCACCGATTCCCCACCCATCCAGCCCTCCCTTTCGACTGGATCAATCTGCTATTTCCCCACCCCAAGGGTTTATTAATCTCACCCTTGGAGTTGTCATGGCGAAGTGGGGTTCCCTCCGCCCCCGCCCCCATTACAGTCGGGAGCCATGACAACTAGGCACTGCAGACGCCAGGAGGGCCCTGTCTGCGTCATTTATCTCTGACATCATCAATCACCGGTTGCCGGGGAAACACCCTCAAAATTAGCACAAAGCAGAGGGGCGAGCTCCACGCACCATCTCTTTGGGGTGAAAGCTGGAAAAATCCCTCCATCTCAATGGCAGCTGTTTTGGGGGAGGTTGGAGGAGGGCAAGAGCAGTCATGGTGATCTCCCCCCTCCAAGAACCAGCAAGAATGGGGAACCCTTCCCCTTTCCCCCAAAATATGTGAAACTGGATGTAATGTCCTACATATCCACCCAACTGCAATATCCTATATTTGCACTGGTCAATTTGACGATTGATTGATTTTTAAAATGCAAACACTGCATTATTATTATTTCCACAAGAGATGTCGTGCGGGAGGAAAGATACGGCTGAGGGGGAAGTAGAGAGCGCATTGGCAGGGAAGCCATAACCATGCCTTGAAACCTCAAGGAAGGCCTAGCGACATTCTGGGTAGCAGCCAACGCAAACCCTGCTCAGAAGAGGCCCCTTAAGTTAAGGGACATGACTAACTTGGAGTCACCGATTTCGATTGAGTCCCCTCTGAGTACAACTAGCATTGGGTACAACCATCTCTTTGCTAACCCCTAGAAGTTTCACCAACACAACCATAAACTTTGAAACGTACCTCCGTAATCCTGAGGACTAGAAATCTGACTTTTGAAAATGAACATCTCTTGGCTCTCTCATCTCCCTTGCCTTTCTTTTCTTTTCTTTTGCTCTCCCGCTGCTCAATGGCCCTTGTGAGTTTTGAACGTGGAAAGGTATTCAGGGTGGGGGTGAGGACCTGCTACTTTAAGACAGTGGTGGGCAAACTTGGCCGTCCAGCTGTTTTTGGACTACAACTCCCATCATCCCTAGCTAACAGGACCAGTGGTCAGGGATGATGGGAATTGTAGTCTAAAAACAGCTGGAGGGCCAAGTTTGGCCACCACTGCTTTAAGAGGATACATAGCAGCTTTTCCCTTCCTCCCCCACTTACACTCCTTGGACATGCCAACTTCGAAGCACTTCTGCAGGCGGCAGTATTGACAGCGGTTCCGCGTCACTTTGTTGATGATGCAGTTCTTGTCGCGGTGACAGGTGTACACCATGTTCTTCTGGATGCTGCGGCGGAAAAAGCCCTGTAAGGGGGCGGGGGAGAAGAGGGGGAAAGCAAGGCGTGAGACCAAGGCAGACCCTTCCTTCCCTCACTTTCAGCCCCCCAACTGGAGTGGGCTCTGCCAATGCTGCTGCTGTGTGAGACCGGATGGCGTGTGTGTGTCCTTCCCCACCACCACCCTGCTTCTATGTCCTGTCTTTTTATATCATAAATCTGAAGGAAGGGGCTGTGTTATTCTTATTGATTTGTAAGGACGCTCTGGGAGCGAGCTTTCCTGGCTCAAGAGCAGGGTATTAATCCTTTCGATTAAATAAATGAACAATGCACATGCTAAAAAAAAAGTACTACAGCAGGGGTTGGAAACCTGAAGCCCTGCCCCCTCAGATGCCGCTGACTACAACTCCCATCATCCTTGACCACTGGCTGGGGCTGATGGGACTTGCAGTCCCAACATCCTCTAGAGCAGTGTTTCCCAACCTTGGGCCTCCAGCTGTTTTTGAACTACAATTCCCATCATTCCTGACCACTGGTCTTGCTAGCTAGGGATGATGGGAGTTGTAGTCCAAAAACAGCTGGAGGCCCAAGGTTGGGAAACACTGCTCTAGAGGGCCCCAGAGGCTCTTCCTTTTCTGCTGTCAAAATGTTAAGAGCTGCCCAGGGCACAGCAGAGGGGTAGGAGAGCTGAAGATAATGCCAATATATTTCACATCTGGCAACCAATGTGCCCTTTTGGTTTCTGATAGCACATGGGTTGACGAGCCTAAAAAGCCCAGGACACATATTTCACGTTCCTCTAGGCTAATGGTGGCTCATTTACCAGAAGTAATGTATTCAGCACTTACCCTGGAAGTGTATACTTGATTCTGACCAAACTAAGCCTTCTGGTGTCTATTATATGCAACTACATCCACAGGGATGGGCCTTACAAAAAAAGGCTTTGCCTACCCTTGCACTACTGCTGCCCCCACCTCAAAAAAATCCAGGAAGCCTGATTTACACTCTCAGAACTAAGCAAATTGAATATATTTGATGTTACAATAAGTTGGGGCTTCAGAGAATGTAGGCCTTTAGTAATGACGGAAGAGTAAGGGGGGGGGCAAACATTCTTCTACACATGAGGGCTAGAAACCCGAGACTCTCAGGATTGCTGCCTCCTCTCTGAAACTACACTGGGGTGCAGAATATAAACAGCCCGATGTTGCACATTCTCAAGAGAACCAAATGTCAGAGGCTCTCTTAAGTGCTAAACCAAAAAGAAAAGGGCCGACCCTGCAAGCAACTGGGACAGGCACACAGTCAGAAGTTGAGGCCCATTGCTTTGGGGGTGGCCATGGCAGAGGCCCGGCTACTCAATGGCAGAGGGGAGCGAAGACAACATTGCCACGTCCCTCTAATGAGATTAGGAGACTCCTGGCGGGGAAGGAGAAAGGCCTTTCTTCCAGGCTACCAGAGGCACAAAGGGCCTCGTGTTAATGAGCCAGAGGGAAGGGATTTGCTGCTGGGGACTGAGCACATAGCACAGCGCCTGCCCGCTCAGGCTGATCTCTGCCAGCCCGATCTACAGGGTCACACTGCCAAGCCCGGTGCAAGTGAGGGCATGTGTGTGTGTGCACAGGTGGAGCAACTAGAGCTCATCCTCTTAGCAGAAAGACAAGAGGAATAAACGGGAATTTTGAAAAAGAAGAGTGAACACAACTCTTGTGAATATACTAAAACACACCCTTGTGCCCACGCCAGCTATCCTCCTCTTTCAAGCAGAACCAGAACTATCGATAATTAGGGTTGGCATGTGTCCTCTTTTTCCAGGACATGTCCTCTTTTTCATGGGTTTGGAAAGTGAAGGTCATCCTAGCAATCCATAGTTAAAAGTAGAAGTCGGCAAGCGTGTCCTCTTTTTTTTTCTTTTTCTCTTCAAAATATGGCAACCCTACAGGCACGACGATGGAATTATCTATTTGCCGGGGGGGGGGGGGTTGGACTAGATGACCCTGGGGGTCCCTTCCAACACTATAATCTCATAACCTTAACTACATTGCTGGACTGTTGCTTGATCTTACAACAATTCTCTTGTCTCAGCATGCAAGAAGGAAAAACGCACACAGTGGAAATGGCCTTAACTATGGACTAAGGCAAAGGTTTTTATACTGTGGTTGCCAAGCTGGTGCCCAGAAATCTCCACTGCTGAAGACATGCCTCTTGATACTTGAGATGTATTATTTTCAGGACTCAGCTTGTGTGGTGTTTTGTTGTTGTTTTTTGTAATTTTAAGTTGTTTTGCACTATTTTTAATATTGTGCTTTAATATCAATGAGGCTTTTAAAATTGTAAGCCACCCTGGGACCTTAGGTTGAGGGGCGGGTAATAAATTCTAACAATAATAATATTAGCAATGACAATGACAATGATAATAATTCCTCCTAGCGTGGAAGGGTGCAGAGCTTGGCTTCTAAGCTCTGCGTGAACACTGTTCTACCCCCCTATACCCATGGGATAGGGGCAAAACCTAAACTTAGTGGCCTCAGATTATTATGGGACATGGCATCGCAGTACTGGCCCTAATAGCTGGGGAGCAGGTGATAGCAACAGGGAAACAGGGTGTTTGTGTGACTTTCAATAGGGCCTAGCAACAAGGCCTGTGTGCGGGGGGGAAACACGCCAGCCAGAAGGAGTGAACATGTGGTGTGCTTCACTTTTTATCATCCCCACTACATCGCAGTACCTCTCTCAAGAGTTCCATGTTCATGGCCCCTCTTTTGTAATTGCCTGTGGTCTGTTTTGGCGGCTAAAAAACTGTACTGCAACTCGCATACCCAACCTATTGGCACTCCCCCCCCCATGTCTTTCCCCTGCAGTGTAGGTGTCCTCCTTTCCCAGCTGCCCTTTCTGTTCTCACCTTGCATCCTTCACAGGCGCTGACCCCATAGTGATAGCCAGAAGACTTATCCTGGCACACAAAGCAGGGCTTGTAGATTCGGGGCAGTGGGGGCGGTGAAGGGGGGCTGGGCACAATCTCTTCCGAGCTGGTACTCTGCGTTTCAATGGCTGCAGAAAAAAAGAGAAAGAGAAATCAGGTGAGCTTCTCAGGGCCTAAATACGCAAACAGAAGAGGCTGCATTTGGGGTGAGGGGTGGGGAGTCTGCCTAGAACCTACATGATGAAATCACCCGACCAATTCACTTTCATAATGCCACTTATGGGCCTTGTGTTCATACGTCACTTGTCTCCCCTATGTTTGAGGACTGAATGCTTGGCTGGAGCTGAATGTGTGAACAGTTTCCACGGAAAAAACATTGCATGCAAGGTGATGTGAGGAGAAATGAAAGCTGTGTCCATGGCGTTTGATCTGTGACATGGTCCATTCACACATTTGATCTGTGATGGGAAATAGACGCAAGACAAGGAAGGAGCAAGGATATGTGCTCTTGAGACATTTGCGCACAAAAATATCTTACTTGGTCCTGCCTACTATTAACTGCCCTAAAGAAAAAGAAAAACCCTTCCAAATTCTCTGCAGGGATACTAACACAGGATGCAAGGAAGATTACATTCTAAAACAATTGCTGTTTGGTTATCAATTTGTATCCTTTGCACTGAATTTGGGGTTTTGTCTTGACTGAACTTAGAAAACTGGGGTGGAGTGGGCCCCCCACAGATCATGCAACGGCTGCTAATCAGAGGCAAATCCAAGTACAGTGGTACCTCGGGTTACATACGCTTCAGGTTACAGACACTTCAGGTTACAGACTCTGCTAACCCAGAAATAGTACCTCAGGTTAAGAACTTTGCTGCAGGATGAGAACAGAAATCGTGCTCCGGTGGTGCAGCAGCAGCGGGAGGCCCCATTAGCTAAAGTGGTGCTTCAGGTTAAGAACAGTTTCAGGGTAAGAACGGACCTCCAGAACAAATAAAGTTCTTAACCCGAGGTACCACTGTACAAATGTCTGCTGGCCTCCTGGGAAAACCATTCTGTGGTTTCAACAGCAGGATTGGAGCCTGAGCTGCCCCAGCGCTCTGTCCTGGAGGGATGCTGCTCAGCTGCTCATATTTTAGCAGGCAGATTCTGCAACCGTAAAGCCTTTACGTAAGATACCCTCCCGAGAAACACTGAGAAGTGGGAACAGGACAGCCCAGTAGGGAAGAGTAACCCTAAACAGGGATGCCCGAAGGCCTGGAAGCTTTGGAAGCCGCCTCCAGCATGCTCTCTGCAAGGGTGGGATGGCACCGCAGCGATATGCGATTTGACGTTTTCAGGCCAGAGAAATAAGATGTGGGATTGAGCCAGACACAGCCAATCCCAGGAGCTTTACATGCTTGGCACAGCAGCTCAACAGAACAGGGCGGGGTGGTGAGGAGGGGGAAAGGGAGGCAGTGCAGTAGTGACTTGACGCTGCTGGATTCCTGGATCCGGAAGGGAAAGGGTTTGCTTTTGGGAAGGAGGACGATAAAACAATCCGGACACTTGTCTTAAAAACAACAACAAAACCCGCAATTTAATGCGAGAAACACACACACACACAGAGACACACACACAGAGAGACACATACACACACACACACTGTTATTGTACAGACCAAAGTGCCTCTGTGCTTTCATAGAGTGCATATATGCTTAGCAAGGGAGTTTAGCAAAATAACCGGGGTTCTTCTAGGGCAAAAGGGGTGTGAATAGTTGTTGCGTGGTTGCTCCAAGTTAATTAACACTGACTACAAGAGTGCAATCTTGTGTCTGTGATATGAGGCAGGGAATCCCCTATAAAGTATGTCACATTTCTCTGTGGGTGGGGAGAGATAATGCAGTTGCGACAAACGAGACCTTCGGTGCTGGTTAGAAATGGTGCAGAAGTGTGACGGAAGGTAGAAAAGGGTTTTTAGAAGACATTTAAAATGCAATATATCCTACGGATGATCCCTAGAGCAGTGTTTCCCAACCGGTGTTCCGCGGCACACTAGTGTGCCGCCGGACGTTGCCCAGTGTGCCGTGGGAGGGAGGCGGGCAAGTCGGGCTAATCCTCCGACGAGCTCCACCTCCAGACCCATTGCTCAAATCCTTTAACCCAGGAGGGCGGGGAGGGGGGGGAGAAAGAGAAAAAAGAAAGGGTGGAAAAAAAGAAGGGGAAGAGAAAATATTTTTTTAAAAAAAGGAAAGAGAGGGAAAAAAGCGAGGGATGGAGGAAGGGGAATAAACAGAAGGGGAGGACAATGAAGAGGGGCGGGGCTTGGCAGGCAGCAGATAACTGGGGAGGGGGGCGCGGCTGGCGGCGGCTCAAGGCAGGAAGGGAGGAGCTGCCTCGCGGAGAGTCTTGGGCTGCAGAGATTTCCCGTTCAGGAGCGCGGGAGGCCACGCCGTGGATGGGAATCTCCTCCTCCTCTTCCTCCTCCTCCTCCAGGAGAGAGGGTGGTCCGCCCCACCGAGTCGGGCGTGCTCAAGCGTGGGAGCCTATAGTTAGAGCTCAGCTCCTTTTCTTGCCTTCCCCGCCCCCCCACGGAGCACATTTTCCTCGCCCCCCCAACCCCCGCATGTAGAATAGAAGCCCTCCAGCCTCCACGGTGCACAAACTCTCCCCTCTGCAACGAAGCACTTTGTTGCATATCTTTGGTGAGGTTTTTAGGCAGTCTTGGTGCACCTTAAATCAGCGCTAATTGCGCCTGGACGCAGTATTTACTTCCGAGTAGGCCCCCTACTCCCCCCCCCGTAGCACCTGACGTTGCTATTCGTATCATCAGGTTTGTTTGTTGATAATTTAATTGTTTTAAAAGCATCATGCTAAAGAGCTCTCTCCCACCCCAGACCCTTGGGCAAAACAGAAACACACACATACACAAACACAGAGATTGAGCCCTGCAGGTTTTATGAAATGAATGGATTCTGAATGCCTGTTTCAGTGGCTTGTCCGCCTTAGGCTGCTGGGCCAGACACCTGTTACACGGTGCAGTCCGTAAGCTGTGAGCGCTGCTACCTGCCGCCGAGACCACGTAACGACAGTCTTGAAAGACCTACATTGGCTCCCAGTACCTTTCCGAGCACAATTCAAAGTGTTGGTGCTGACCTTTAAAGCCCTAAGCAGTTTCGGTCCAGTATACCTGAAGTAGCGTCTCCGCCACCATCGTTCAGCCCAGACACTGAGATCCAGTGCCAAGGGCCTTCTGGCAATTCCCTCACTGTGAAAAGTGAGGTTACAGGGAACCAGGCAGAGGGCCTTCTCGGTAGTGGCGCCCGCCCTGTGGAATGCCCTCCCATCAGACATCAAAGAGATAACCATTACCTTCTATGCTGTTACTATTTTTTTTTTTTTTTTTACATAAGTAAAAAGTGACCTTTCCCCATCTGGCATGGTGGTGTGCCTCGATATTTTTTTCATGAAACAAGTGTGCCTTTGCCCAAAAAAGGTTGGGAAACACTGCCCTAGAGGAAGAAAAGCCTGGGAATCTGGACTCCTAGCCACCGATGCAGAAGGAAGCAGGTCTAGGCTGGTTATAACAGGATGCAGCTAAAAGCCTGGATATTATTCCCATCTCAGAGAAGGAAGCAGGGGTCTGAGATGGGTTACAGCAAATGGGATGGGAAGCCAAGATTCTGAGGGGCCAACTTGAAGGATTAGTTAAGGAGGGAGCTCCCTCCTGCCAAAAAACAGCAGAACAAGGTGAGCTTAATTTTACTGAATCAAAAATCTGTTGGCATAAAAAGCACACAAGCTCTGGAGTTATACAGATCTTTCAGAAGGTAAAATGAAAAAGGTGCCTAAAGGAAGCTGAGGACAGGAGGTGGCAAAACAATGCAAGGCTAGACAGAGGTGCTGCTGGCCAGCAGGGAAGCTGATCTAAGGATGGGTATTTATCCTGTTCCGGATGGGATGATCCTCCTTCTCAAGAGTCTGGCACATGGTTTTGGGATTATCCTGTGCTCCTGGATGCTCAAGTGGTGGCTGTAGCCGGAAGTACTTTTGCACAGCTCGGGCAGGTGGGCCAGGGTGGTGTAGTGCATGGGTAGGCAAACTAAGGCCCTGGGTCCAGATCCAGCCCAATCACCTTCTAATCCGACCCATGGACGGTCCGGGAATCAGTGTGTTTTTACATGAGTAGAATGTGTGCTTTTATTTAAAATGCATCTCTGGGTTATTTGTGGGGCACAGGAATTCGTTCATATTTTTTTCCAAATTATACTCTGGCCCCCCACAAGGTCTGAGGACAGTGGACCAGCCCCCTGCTGAAAAAGTTTGCTGACCCCTGGTATTGGTTAGAGCACTGGGCCTGGGTCACAAATCTCTACTTAGCCATGAAGCTTCCTGAGTGACAGAACAGTCAGACTCCCTCCCTCCCTCTTCTCTCCCAGTCTAATGTAAACATGCCCTACGTTTATAGAAGTGAAGGTGGGATAAAAATGCCTCAATTAAAAAAACCACCCCAAAACAAACCAACATCACAGCCCTTCCTGAAGAAGACAGCCACTATCACGCATGCTTTGGTCACATCTAAGGTTGGTCTAGTAAGGTCTACATGGAAGTATGTCTGGAAACTACAACTGGTGCCAAGTGCTTTTTCCTGGGGTCCACCACATGGAAGCCACTGCTTTTCTATTTTTGAACTACTCTGGCTCCCAGTTTGTTTCAAATTCCAAAGCAACTTGGACTTCTTGTTTCCAAAGGAGGTTGCTAGACCATTGAGATATTTGCAGGGTTTTCTGCTCCATGTCCTGCCATTGTACAAAGGACGATGAGCCTTCTCCATGGTGGCTCCTAGGCTGTGGAACCTCCTTCCCTTGGAGGGTCTGTTTACAGACTCTTCCCTCCACTCCTCCCAATGGATGTTGAAGGCCATCTTACCATCTGGAGTTTTACGAGGACAACTTGTGTTCATTGCGCGCGAGGCCCCTGATTTCATCCTGCTTCTGTTTCTCTAAGATGTTATCAGGACTCACTATTGTTTTCCCCCTCTCTCGATAAGTCTTGTTTGTTAATTGGTGTTTTATTGTTTTATTTTGTGCTTTTAACTTGCATGTGCAGCCTTGGGGCTGTCCTAGCTGGAAAGCAGCATAAAAACTAACTG